TGAAAGACCCTCAGGAAATCATCTGACACTTTTGTGTGAAGTTTTTTTTTTTTTTTAAACTTTTCCTTAGAAGGCAAGGGAATGAACAGACTAATTATGAAGTAAATTATACAAGGATCTATGTGTAGCATACCTGGAAGATGAACTGTACTCATAGATGTAGAATATTTTGGAAAACCTCTTGGGAGTGTGTGCTTGCTTTTACTGTATGTTTCAGCTACAGAATAGAGAGAAACTTGCCTCTTATTTTCTCAGAGTGGGAAGGAATTTGTGACTGGCTCTGATCATGGAACCTGCCTCAGATGAGGGAACAGGGTTATGACTGTATGTCACTAAGTGTCTCTAGTCTTTTGTCTCAGCAGGGAAAATAAAAGGGATCAAAATATCCCATCCCTTTCAATTTGTTCCCTGGTTGTGGTTTGCAGGTAACATTTTTCATGACTGCTCCCCCCAATTAAGTCTGAATAAATCATGCCAGCTTTGGGGAAAGGGCTCTTGCACTGCTTAGACTTCTGAAGCTCTCTTCCCCTTGGAAGAGGGCTGGAAGCAATGACAGTAAGACCTAACAGTGCTGGTGATCATTTTGGGCAGGGAATAAAGCGACTATAATGACCCTTCGGATTGTCTCTGCCCTCTGGAATCCTGAATTGTCTGCCTCATTGTACTGAAAAGAATCAAATTAGGATGTGGCTCAGAGGAGAGACAGCCTAATTTTTGTCAACCTTAAAACACTAAAGTTTTCTCCTCTGTTTGGAAACCTTGTCATTGCAACCTGGAGAGTCTCCATTTGAGAGAAGTAGAAGGAAATGCTCCCCTCTGCTAGAAATGCAAGAAGTCTTTGCTAAACTCACTTCACCAGTGAGAACTGGTGGTTTGAGAGCAGGCTGAGGTATGGCTCCTTCTTTTGGGAGGAGAGCCAAATGTCATAACAAAAACAGCTGGCTGGTTTGCTCAGTTGGTTAGAATGTGGTGCTGGTAACACCAAGGTCCAGAGTTTGATCCCTGTACTGGTCAGATGCCAAAAAAGTAAACAAACAAACAAAACCCAAAACCAATCATGAGCCAAAGCTTGTCACTGAAGACCCTTCCAGTAAGCTAGATGGCTGGGCATAGACATTAGTATAGGTGTGGCCATGGATTCAGCTGTGCTTTTACATGTCGAACCAACCCCTCAAAGTGGCAGTACCAGAGGCCCCAGAACAAGACATCGAAGTTGTTTCCCTCCCCCCAGAAATCCTTAACATAACCCCACAGTTTTTTTGTTCCTTGTGTATAGCAGAATTTCCATGTTTTACTTGCTAGCAGTTCCCAATCCCAAAGTTTACTTGTCTGGTTCATGCTTCTATCGAAGCTTTGAAGTACAGCCAGCTCATTTTGCTTCTTGGTATGAATATCACATCATTTTGCTGTCTTTACTGGCTAGTTGGAGAGTGGGAGGCTGTTGTGTTTATTCAACATTGCACTTTGTGAAAAGTTAATTCTTGATAAAGGTTTTGCCTTTTGAGGTGGTAGATGACACTGTCACGAGGCACGGGGCCTCATTATTACTTTATGAGGGGATGTAACAAATGTCACAAAGGTAATGTTCAACACAGCTCAGGTCTGCATTCACAGAGATGACAACTGATGATTCGATCTAATCCTTACACTGTGAAGGGAAATATACTTCCCTAAAGTCCTAAAACAGTGCTGTCTAACAGAAACTTCTTCAGTGACAGAAATGATCTTTATCTACACAGCCCAGACAAAGCTGTTGACTGGAGTGGGTTGAATACTGTGCCCCAAATTCATGTCCATGTAGCATCTCAGTAGCCATGAACCGTGATTCTTGAATACTTGAAATGTGATTAGTGAGACCGAGGAAATAAGATTTTAGTTTTATTTAAATTGAAATACTTTAAATGTAAATAGCCACATGTGGCTATTACTATTGTATTGGACAGTACAATTCAATATTTATAAGATGTTTTCTTTACTGGATTCTGAAAGAGCATGTTATGCAATTTATATATACTTGAAGAAGTTATGAAGTTTTAATACATGGTATTTAAAAAATCTCTGTAGATTGGTTATAGTAATAGTATACCATTTATAGTAATTTATAACATAGGTGTTATGATTTAGCAATCTATAGTATAGCAATTATGATACAAAATCTACAGTAGGCAGTTATATAGTAATCTCTAGTTCAGCAGTATAGCATAGTAATATACATAGTACAAAAGCTTAAGATCCCCCATCTTACTAGCCATGTGATCTTGGGAAGGCCACCTAATCTGAGTCTCATCTGTAAGATTCAGTTGATAGTAATAGTAAACATCCCATGGGATTGCTGTATGAGTTAAATGACTAATCAATATACAAGCATTTATAAACTGTCCCTCACTCAATAGCAACCTGGCTATTTGCAGACAGACAAATCTCTTTGGAAGAGGTGGCTGGCTGTTCTCTAAGTTTTGAGAACCATTTAGACATAGTCTGTTCTGAGTCAACTGATGTGTCAACACAGTGAAGAAGACTATTAATAAAGCACATAGAGTTATTGACGACTTAAGCTAAGTAGAATAAACATCATAAATGAGGTCCCATGTGAGCTGCCCATAGAACCAGTGAATGTTTTAGTCCAATCCGTTCATTTTGCAAATGAGGAAATTGAGCCTCATAAAAGTTAAGTGCCTTGAACACAGCCAGACAGGAATGGAAGTGAGTTTCTGTTTCCTGACCCAGTGCCCACAAAAGACAGAGAACAGAGAAAACAGACTCTGTTTCATTTAAATCAGGGTCATTGCTCCCAGCACTTGATTTTAATGTATCTGTAGTTTTTACACATCACTTTGCTAATAGGCAATTTTCACACATGAATGCATGTATATAAAATTCACAAACATGCTCACCCATATGTTCACACATAAACTTTTGCCAGCATTTGCCAAAACTACAGGAGGATCTATACTGACTTTGTTCTGGTTCAAAATTTTGCCCAAGATTTTAGTGATGATGTGTCTGAGAGCAGGTGGAAACCGGATGTAGTGAACAGAAAGAAAAGAGTCATAACAAAAATGACTTAAACCTTAATTAATTACTTCCTCCCTATACTGCAAAGGTTAGAGAAGTGTTCTAGGAAGCATATTTACTAGATTAAAAAAAATTATTACAATATTGTGGCAACATGGAATAAGGCTTTGCCAGTGGAGATGTAAGGCTTTTAATTGTACTGGGTTGAATGACGCCCCCCCCCCCCCAATTCATGTCCATCTAGAATCTCATAATATGACCTTACGTGGAATAAGGGCCTTTACATATAAAATTAAGATAAGGTCTGAAATGAGTTATACTGGGATTAGGGTGGGCTCTAAATCCAATGAGAGTATCCTCCTAAGAGACAGAAAGGAAGACACAAGGACACACAGATGGTGATAATGAAGACGGAGGGAGGGACTGGAGTGATGTGTCTACCAAGGATTACTGGCAACCACTAGAAGCTAGGAGAAGGCCTGAGATGGTTCATCTCTCAGAGTCTCCAGGAAGAACCAACTCTGCCAACTCCTTGGTTTTGGACTTCTGGCATTTTGAACTGTGAGAGAATAAATTTCTGTTGTTTTAAGCCGCTCAATTTGTGGTAGTTTGTTACGTCAGCCCTAGGAAACAAATATGTTCATCATGATAACATAACTTATTCCTAGTTTTCATCTGACCAGAGAAAAACGAAGGATTTACAGTTCTCCTTGAGATAAAGTTTATCTAAAAGTAGGAAATTAAGAATTGGTTAACGTATCTGCAGTTGCCAGCCTCTAAGGTGTTCCCCAGTGTGTCCTGCTCCCTGGTGTTCACACCCTTGTATGGGCCCTTCACATAGGGAACAGGGCTGACATGTGTAAACAGTAGGATGTTGTGGAAGTGACAGAATGTGACTTCCAAGGCTAGGTTATAAAAGACATAAAAGCTTTCCTCTTCTATATTTATAGCTAGACTCAAAAGGATTTTACCATTTGATTTTCTATGGCACAATGAACCTAATGAGTTTTTTTAGTAGTTAAAATATGGGCAAGAATGAACAGACATGGTAGGAATTTTAACTTAGGATGGTTATCTTTTTAAAATTTTCTATAAACAATAAGATCATAACAAAGTTATTCAAATAAATGACCTTCGTAACGAAGGTCATTCAAATAAATAGATCTTTCCAAAAGGAAAATTTTATTTTCTTAGTGTAAAAGAGGCTTTAAATTTTAAAATGCACACAACTGGTGAAATTAACCTAGGCAGTGGGAGGTGCCGCCATACAGATAAAGCAAAGCAGTGAGCCATCTACAAACCCTGGGCATCTGAAACTTTGCCGGCATGCTGTCCTGGTTGAAGCCCACACTGCAAGGCCACCTGACAAGAGGAACTTTCTAGAAAAATCTCCTTTTTTTCCTTCCAAATTGACTTCTATTTTTACTTTTCTGGACCTATGGCTTGAATTGTGTTCTCGTACTCACCGTCCTTTTATTGACTAACATGTTCCTGAGGGACTACTCTGTGCCTGGCACTGGGCTTATAGCAGTGAGCTCAATACACTTGTGTGAATCTAAGTTAGTGTCTGAAGATTGGAGGGATTCAGGGCATTTAAGTTGTCTTCACCTGCTGGGAAAGATGACCAATTGATCTTGGCTTAACTCCTTCACAGAAATTTCCTTTAAAATATTTTAAAATTATAACCTCAAAACTTTTAAACATACAAATTTTAAAAAATGAAGAAATTTTTAAAATTAAAAAATTTAAAATTTAAAGATATACAAATTTAAAAATTAAAAAATCTAAATTAAACAAATTTAAATACAAAAACATTTTTAAAAAAAAAAATAAAGATATACAAATTTAAAAATTAAAAAATCTAAATTAAACAAATTTAAATACAAAAACATTAAAAAAAAAAATCCTTTTAAAAAGCTTTCCTGCTCAGCTTTTGAGAAGAGGTTCCCTGTGAGTGGCGTGCAGGTGCTCGTGTTTTTTATTACCTGGAGGAAGGTCTGGGCCCACAATCGTGATCTCACTTTCAGGACAGCACTTTCTCCTCCTCCTAGTCGTCCCACTGCACAGGAGATTTGTAAACACTCGATATTTGTACAATTCTGCAAAAAACAACAGCAGCAGGGGTGCATCAGTATCTAAATTGTGGTAGAGAATCAACACCAAAGTCAGTTTATTTACATTTTATTTCCTCAGCAGTCATCACCATATCCATAAATTATTAATTTAAATAAAGAACAATACTTTGGAACAACCAAGAAAGTACAGTTTAGTGGGAATGATGCATCAAATTTAGGGGTAATGGAGAAATAAAATGGTACACAAAATACAACATAAAATTTAAGCTCTTTTCTAAGGATCTTAAAACAATCTCTCTGCAGCAACAATTGAATTGTTCTGTTTATTTTCTCAGCACTGGGCAAGACATTTCTTATTGGTATTCACAATACCCAGTGCTGGATTGAGCAAGTCTGGAAAGGGTCACAGAGGAAGCCCCTGAGTATATGATCCTAAAGATACATATTACTGACCCACTGACAAGCATTTGTCCCATAACATTCTGCTCTCTGTCTAAACTACCTCCTGTTATTTACAGGAGGTAGTTTAGACAGAGAGAAAATAAATAAATAAATAAATAAATAAAACTACCTCCTGGCTGTAAAGCAGGCCCTTCGAAAACCATTAGGCTGTTTTAAAATCAATTTCTAGAGCTGCCCAACATACAATGGGTAACCTTCAATTACGAAGTGCATGTTTGTGGAAGGTATTCATGATGGCGACATTCTGTCTATCAAACTGTATTTTCGATTGGATCCCAGCATGGAAATAAATGAATGCATCACAATCCATTTTCTGTGTGCCATGCACAGAATGATACATACCTAATTGTACTCCTTCCCTGATTTAAATTTGTCCTGTGGGCTATGCTCATTCATTCATCATGTCTCAAGCACCAGGCACTGGCCTATTGGTGCTCAATAAAAATTGGTTTATTGGATTTTATGATTTATTGACTGAGGTATTTCACTTTAATGAAATTGATAAACCACACAATAACCTGAGGAACATATTACTATGAGAAGCTTTTTAAAGAACCTTAGAATTCTCTAAATATAAAGTGGTCAGTAATGTATATCTCATTAATTCCAGTAAAGCTAGATTTCTACAGGACATTTCCAAATACAGGTGGCTGTCAGCCTGTGTACTACTAGAGTGGGCACTGAGGAGCCTACAGCAGGAACAGGAATTCTCGAAGCCCTGCAGTTTGTGGCACTAGTGAGGACTCTCATGTTTACTTATGCTCCGTGATCGACATGTTGTGTACCACTAATCCCACCCTCTGGAGGCAGGAGGGGAGTCCAAGTTAGCTGTTGTCAATTCCCTAGATTGTTAACTCCCTAGGAGTTAGTTAGCTGTCTTGGAGGATTCTAGAAAAGGTGATGCTTGGAATGAATCCTGAAGAATGAGGAAGAGTTATGTAGCTGAATGGGAGGACTGGCACACGGTTCTCTGGAACAAGAGCAGGGTATGCTCAGGAAAGTGTATATAGGGGTGGGATAGACAGATAGAAATAAGATAGGAAAGAGAGAAAGTCTAGGTGGTGAAGACTTTAGATTTGTGTGTGTGTATGTGCGCCAAGGGGTTGAGATTCCATGTAGAAGGCACTGGGGAGCTTGTGAAGCTTCTAATCAAGGGGTAGGGTCAGGTTTGTATTTGAGGGGGCAGGTGGTGTATGAGGAAAGAAAGGAGCAGGAGAGTGGGAAGACAAGAGGATGATAAGGGCTTGTTGCGAGAGCCCACAGGAGAAATGCCAAGGCCCTGAACCGAGGCAGTGGGGACAAAGAGAGGAAGATGAATTTTAGAGAAGTTTAGGAAGTAGAACAGACACTTGGTGACAACTGGAAGTTGGGATGAGGAATTGGAGAAGTGGGGGGAGCTCACTGCATTGGAACTGGGTGGATGGGTGCTGCTGTTACTGAGACTGGGAATTCCAGAGAAGAATTACATTTGGGATCATGGGGATAAGAATTTTGGACATGTTGGGAATGGGGTGGCTATCAGACATCCAGATGGACCCTCCAAGTCTTGAAGGCAGTAAGAGAGGACTAAGATGGCAGGAGGCAGGTAGAAGTGACTGGAGTTATGGTCATGAAAGAAATTTCCCCAAAAGAGCAAAATTGGTGGGAAAGAAAAGGGGGGGAGGATGGAATCCCGAGGTGCAGGGGATTGAAGGATAGGCACAAGAGAAGTCCATGAAGAATTCGAAGATGGGGACAGTCAGAAGGTCGGAGGAGAAACAGCAGAGAATGCTTGTGGGGGAATTCAAGGGATACAGTGGTTTCAGGACATGGCTAATAGTGTCAAATACTCAAGAGGAGTTAAAAAAGAAGGTTGCTGTAAGCTGAGTAGTGAACGGGAAGACAGGAAAGTTTGCAGAGGACGAGATGGAAATGATAGCTACAAAAACAGCAGGGGCATCAAATACTCAAGAGGAGTTAAAAAAGAAGGTTGCTGTAAGCTGAGTAGTGAACGGGAAGACGGGAAAGTTTGCAGAGGACGAGATGGAAATGATAGCTACAAAAACAGCAGGGGCGCAAGTCAAGGAAGGCAAGGATATTCTTAGGCAGAGGAGACATTATATTTCAGTGTTATACAGACAAATTTTTCCTATGCAAATTGGAAATTATGATCCCAATACAGGATGTTGGCATTTTGCACTTTCAAATTCCTAATCAGAAACGTGATTCAGTAAGTTGTTTTTAACTAAACAAAAACTGTAGGAGGTCTTATTTAGCTTTTGATTTTAGAATAAACTTTGCATAATCAGTCTCTCTGCAGAGTTGTTTTGACTTGAGGACATGTGGAAGCCTATGATTTGCAGTTTTTGAACCAATAAGAGAGAAAGAATAATGCATGAGTTAACAAAATCAAATATGGAAATCAAGGCTTGTGCTGGCCCTCATCTGCGAGTAAATAAGTTTCAGTGATACTCAGAGGTTAAAAATGATCTTACACCAGAAATATTTAATGATCCCCAGTGATAGCAGTCTGGTTAAAAAAAAAAAAAAGAGAAACAATAGAAGGAAAAAAATTCGACCTTGCAACAAAAATGCATATAATTTTCAAAATAATTTTAGTAATTGATCTCCACTGCCTCAGGAGACATACACTGAAATGGAAATTGAATAACATATTTGAATCTTGATTTTTCAAATTTTTATTTCTGTGGAGGTTCGGACATTGGTTTTCTGGGGGGCTTTTCCTACTAATTGGTAATGCACATTAGAATTCTATAGATGCCAATTATTGTTTCTGTTCTATTGTTCCTGCTAGAAGTTTTTTTTTTTTTTTTAAATGACAATAATTCCCCCTCAAAGAAATAGCATATAAATTTCCTACTCATATATTTTAAAAATATTATGGTATCATAAAAATTTACAGGTACTTGAATCATGATCTTCCAATCATCATAGCATTTTGTCACACAATTTCAGGTACTTCTACTACAATAAATGCTCCTTGCTTGGCTTAAGTTTAACTGATTGGTTAAGTTAGACTTGCCTGTTGTAATTTTCTGCCCATTTTCATGTCTGAAACATTTTTTACTGTCATGATAAATTAAATGAATATCAAAGAATGTTTAGGATGCACTACTTTAAAAACCATTTTGATCACTTTTAAGTGTACAGTTCAGTGCCATTAAGTACACTCACAATGTCCTGTGACCGTCACCACCATCTAACTCCAAAGCTTCTTCATCATCCCAAACTGAAACTCTGGCTCCTGAAAACCTTTGTATCAATGAGACACAGACCTAGGATTTGCATCTATTTCCGCCTAATATCCTCTCTTTTGATGACTCTTTATTAATACTACTAAAAGTTTATTCATGTGATGGAAAACAGGTTCAGGATTTTCAGGACTATGATTAATTCAATATGGCATTATGCTACTTTATTGGATTGAAATAAATGATTAGGATTATCAGAGTTATTTTTTTTAATACTTTGCTATGCTTTTGTTTTTTAAAAATAGCTAATTCAAGGTCAATACAGGAGTGCAGGAATGGAAAGGAAGTCAACTGAGGACTTCTGTTCCCTGCTTACCATCCTGTTTGTCTTCCAAAAACTCATGTGCCTTTTCTGTATCTTCTGAATACTCAGACAGGGACCCCCTGGATGATCTGCTGTGGGCTCAGAACTCAAGGAGAGAGGCAGGGCCTGTGGGGGCTGGGCGTTCTTCTGGGTCTTGGGACCGTATTCCCCACTTCTATGGATTACAAGAAAGAATAAACTACTCTTCCCTGTTACTAACTCTCTGGCAGGAGGCAAATGATCTCATGCCTCTGCCCTCCCCAACACACACATTCACACACACACAGCCGATTCCACTAGTTCAGCTGAGAGAGTGGGATGCTATTTATACACAGTGCATTTTCCACTCTAGTTGAGAGGGCAAATGACTGTTAGCATCCACTCACACCGTTACTCTACATTATATCCTTTACAAATCCTTCCACAACCTCCAATTTTTCAATTTTGTAAATTAAGCTTATTATTACTCCTTTCCAGTCACACAAATGCTAAAATCATAAAATCGGGGACTCGATTACTCCTGCATAGACTTGCTCCCTTCGGTGACAGCTACCTTGAATTATTTCAGTTTCATAACTGGTTGGAGTGATTCCCCAAAGCATACTTGTACATTGCCATAGTAGCCATTAGATTTGGAATTTAGTCACTACCAACACTGTCTTTTAAACTGCTTGCAATGTATCATTTGCTTAGAATTGGGTTTGGGATTAAGAGCATTTAGGGCCAGGGAGGAAGATTAAGGACAGGTACGATAGTGTGCCAAGGGCATTTTGGAAGGTGACTCCAAAGCTAACAGCAGTGACTGTGATGAGTTTATTTCCTGTGTCATCCACACATTTGTTCAACAAATGAGCCAGGCACTAGCTTTGGAACTAGAGAAACAATACCGAGCAAACCGAATGTGTTAACCACCCTCAGTGGCTTTCAATATGGTGGACCCTAACCCTAACCCTAACCCTAACCCCAACCCTAACCCTAACCCTAACCCCAACCCCAACCCTGGGTAGACAGGTGGAGAAAGGGGAATGAATGCTCCTATTGGCCAGAGCAGTGTGGCACCCGGACCAGCCCATGAACAAGTCAAAATGTCTGGGCTGAACACAGTCTGGAGAGGGGCACGGCATGGGTTTTCGTGTTTAGTAGCTCTCAGCCTGGACAAGACAATGACCGTTGTCCCTGTCGAAATAACTATAGCGCCTTCCTTGGCTCAGGGTCTTCTCTGTTTCTGCCTTCACCTTCTCTTCCTTATTTTCTCGTGTGCCTGAGGACTCCTGCCACGGGGCTCTCCCTTTCCCCTGCCTCTTTGGATAGACAACACTTGGCTTGTGGTTTTGGCTTCTGTTTGAGCATCACCACAAAGCATCGTGTTTTGGATTGAGCATGTGCACTGTAGCTTTGGGGCACGAAGTACCCGCCCAGCCCCTGCCCCATCCCAGGCACTGGGACACAGTGTGGCTCCCAACCTGGGGTGTTTGCTTGCTGTTGAAGAGGGTTTTGACATGATCTCTGATTACTTCTGCATAGCTGGAAAATGTGCTTATAGCTTCCTACTCTTTATGGAGAAGGATTGTAGAACACACATGAATTGAATCTGATGCTTGTGTTGTGCCCTTGCCACATGGTTGGGGAAGAGCATTATTTATGTGATGAAGTAAAGCTCTAGGGGGCTTTGGCATTGGGATGAGTGAGAGAATTGAATTTAAAATGCTGACTCATGAATGCTGTCTACAGTTTTTCAAAGTGCTGACTAAGCTCAGGCTAGAACTACCACAGACCCCAATGCTAAGACTCTACAGAGGTTTTGGCCCAGGAAAGCTGAACGCACCATTTCTGCCTTTTCCAGATGAACAGAGGACTCTGAGATTCCAGGACAGGTGCAACACCCGAGGGCCCATTGGATGGACACTTCAGACTCTCACCAGCTCAGTATCCTTGAACAGGCTAATAGCTGACCGTTTATGTTCTTGAAATGGATGAAAGGTCACATGTGATGTTTTCATCATGATTTGTCTAAAGTGGTCTCCGTGGCAGGTTTAGAAAAGTGAAAAGGTTATATTGCAAATGCTTAGTCCTCCCAGAAAAGTCACTTCCATTTCTCACAATATGTACTGCCAAAAATGTTAGGCATATCTGAGCCTCGCAGGGAACCAAAAACAATACCGAAGTTAAAACCATCTGTATTTGGGAATTCTGTCTGATCCAGTCTTTCTCCTCAGCACTGTGCACACCCGGGTAACTCACCAGTATCTTTGCAGGACTTTGTCTGTGGAGCTCGACCCCAGGCACGTCCCTCTTCCTGACAAGGTGTGGAATGGTAGAGTTTCGCAAAAAGGCACTCAGCTCAGGGGTGGCCTCTGGGGAGACGGCTGGCTGCAAACAGAAGGCAGGAGATGTCACATGCAATTGCATTAACAGCTGTTACCTTCTCATTCACCTTGAACTCCAGACATTTTCCCCCTGTCAACTGAATAGGATTCACATGAGAATTCAGATGTGTTGTGACTTACCAGCAGCATGTTCAACAGTGACATGACCCACGCTGACAAAGTACAAACCTCTCCACTGTCCAATGACAGGAATTCATGAAGCCTGGGGAATGCACTCCTGGAGAGTTTATCTTGTAGGGATGAGCTTTTAAGCAGAAGTAGCTTCCCCATAAGGATAGAAAACATGGAGGTGACTTTTCAGGCATGAGTTATTAGTCTCTCATTACTGTCCTCTCATTAGATAGTGGGGCTGGGTAAACTGAGGAATGTTCTGTGTGGGGAGGTGGATCCTGAGATGGCAGAAGAATGAGATGCTGACCATGGGAAACACCCCGATGTGCCAGGCTGGCCCTACAGTCCTGTGCTTGTAAGAAGTGCTCCTTCAGAAGAGAACCCTGTGCCCTAATGAAAATGACTTTTCCAAAGCATGCTACACGCACATTGTGCTGTTATGGAGCTCATTTTCAGCCACAAGTTTATTTTGCAAGTGTTTTAGAACTGACAATTTTATCTCAGGCTCCATTCTGGGTACTTCTGATGGCTGAATTCTGAGAGTTCCAATAAATCACATGCAACATCCTTTGA